GGGCTGGAGCCAGCCTGCTGCAAGGTGAGCAAAGGTGACTTTTGGCTTCTTAATGATAATTAACGCCTAATTCATGGTACAAAAGAGCAGAGTAGGGACATGGGGTTCCAACTGGACCAAGAGCAAGGGGAAGAGTCATAGAGAGCTGGGCTTGCTGCTCCTGTGGTTGACGAAGGGAGTGGAGAGACATGGGACAGTGTGAGAAGTCTAAAGCTGTTGCTGCTGCCAGAGTCCTTCTGAAAGCGGCTGGATTTCTGCTGCCTGTGGGGCCAATTCTGGCAAAACTGCTTTCTACTAGAAAATTCCTGCCCCAGGTTCCCAAGCACTTTGTTCTCATGCCGGTGCCTGACCACAGCCTCTCTGCATACACATGCCACTGGGAGAATTTGGGCAGTATCTCTTGCAGACTTCATGCAGCTCATCACCTGATACCAGCAGCCTCTTAAACCAGGGATGCTGAGAGAACAAAACTTACTTTAATCCACAGGCAGTGGCATGGAGCTTTGGAGGACAAACCCTCATATCAGGATGCAAAGCCCATTGTGGACGCATCAGGTCAGACTGGATGGTTACACTTGTACTTCAGGCTTTAAATCCATAACATTTTTTTAAAAGGCAATTAGAAGAGAGGGAAAGACAAGACTTTATCAGCAATAAGTTTCTATCCTTTTTCTTCATTAAAGAAATCAGCATATGTTCCCTATCCTCAAGACCAGGCGCCTCCTGTTATTTGGTTCCTCGCCCTCCACCACTCTTTCTCCCTTCACTGCTCTTCTGTGTGACTCTGTCTCCATTGCTCTCTCCCTGGGATTTTAATTACATTCATCTATTTCCACTCACTAGGTCTGTCACTTCCAGCAGGACTGCTGTAATTATATTGTGGGAAGCATCGTTCACTTTGCTGAAGCCTGAGCGGATTAAGGATCTTCCACGCCTTTTCCCACCCCTCTCTGCCAGGTACCTGCACAAAGATGACAGATGGTCAGGGGCCATTTATTTCCCCTAATGAGCTGGTACAAAAGGAGATGGCTCCCAAAACACATGTATATTTGCAGTTAACTAAAACTGCCCCGGACTCCCAGGGCTTTGCCTGAAAGATGGGAAGGGTCTGAACCCAAGGAAACGTGCCAGCAGTCGGGAATGGGGGGTTCAGGTGTTTCAGGAGGAGCCCAGCTCTGGGTTCAGAGGAGCCTGGACTGCGGGAGCGTGTCCTGCCCTGCACTCTCATCAGCACCAGGGTCACCCGAGCTCAGTTTCTCTCCCACAGATAAGAAAAGCTGACTTATAGAAGGGTATTAAACAAACGCTGTGAACCATGCCTGCACGATGGACGCCTCTTAAATGCAAATCCTGTGTTTCTCTCAGGTGATGAGGAGAGAGCTCTCTAGCCTTATCTCTATACCCCTGTTAATGTGTGATGAGCTCCAGTGCAGTTTAGCTTTCCAAGGAGTGTAAGACACAGGGCATGCTCAACGGTGGTCCAGCAGAAGCTAACACAAACGTGAACCTCAGGCTGACGCGGGTGAGGTTGGTGGGCATTAGGGGATGTAAAAGGATGAAGAAGGTAATTCCGAGTGTAAGCATGTGCAGAGATTACAGCATGAAAAGAGAGCATGGCTGCCCGTAGCCTGAGCTGATGTAAAGCACCAGAGCTTTGAAGGATCCGCACAGATTTATGCCAGCTGAAAGCTTAGCCTCAAAAGTGGATTCAGTTTAACCCCCTGGAAGCATGCTCTTAGACTGTGAGGCGCTGGAGATAAACCAGGCACTGCATCCTCCCAGTTTGCCATAGCTGGTATCCTGACCCTAACCCAGTGGAGGCCCAATGGTGATTTAAAACACATATAATGTCTTACAGAGGCAAGGCCTGTCAGTGGGGGTGGATGGAGGAGTTCCAAAACCCACACAGGTTGGTTGCCCCATTTCACCCCCTGCTCCCAGTACACTCCCAGTGCAGGCGTTATGCCCCCCTGTCACTAACCAGCCAGCTGCCTTCCCACCTGGGCCACGAGCTTAAATCTGCAAGTTGTCCTTCTCTTTGCAATTCTGAGGAAACAGAAGCTTGACCGTCCCCTTGCTTAGCTGTGAACACAGCAAGGAGGTGGCTGGGATCTCCCCTTCCCAGGCCGCCCGCGGGAACGGAGGGAAAGCTGCACTGGGAAAAGCTTTCCTAACTCCCTTCTACACAGCCACCCCGCTTTCAAGGCGTACATTGGACAGGCATTGCTTCCACTAACTATTTCCCAGGGGAGAGAAAATAAATGAACCTAGAGTTTAAATTAAATCCCATCAATGGAAAAGCACTTGCAGGGCTGAACGTGTCTCTTCCCAGTGTCTCCAAGTCCCCCGAGCTCTACTTAAGCCCATGAGGTGCAGGTGGAGCCAAGACCTCAGTGTGCCTCTTCGAGCCTTCTCATTTTCATCTGGGCATGGCTTCTATGGCAAATACAGGCTCCAGCTGCTCAGCATTTCCCACAGTGAAGGCAGGCACCAGGTTCTGGAGACTGCTCTCCACATGCCACTTTTTTTTCTGGGGCAAGAGTTTCCTTTGTGCCCACAGATCTTTTGGCCCCAGTCCTGGAGAGCAGCTCCACGCAGCAGCACGGGCTGCGTGGCTGTTCCAGGGGCTGCCTCGGGACATTTACCTCCAGCCTCTCTCCTCCGGGGATATGCAAAAACAGATGCTCGAAGCAGCAAGCCTGGAACCCGCTCGTGAGATAATGCTCGTTTGCTGCTTCCATATATTTTCAAGAGGTGGCACCTGTAAAATAGGCACGATTTGGTGCTCCGACGCTAACGCAGTGGAGGCTGCGGGGAGCCCCTGGGCTGCCAGAAATGCCGTCTTAGAGATGAAATGTGCTGGTAAAACCAAGGGTCTTGACCTGCGGTGGTAATTAAAGATCCCACAGTAGTTTTTGCAAGAGTAAGGGAACTAGCCCTGCTGTCCTGGCCAAAGTCCAGCTCGGGTAATTATATTCACCCCCTCGACCCCACCGGGCTGGGTCTGTGGCAGCTGTGACATGACATAGTGTGTGCTGGGGCTTCAGAGCCCAGCGGGAGCCCGGCTGGCCACAACTGGGGGGACCTGGGAGCAAGATAAAAGGTGAGTTGAGGGTATTCAGCACATAACCCTGCTGCTAGCTCATTAAAAGACAACATTTGCAGGTCCCCTTTAAACTGTTTATCCATTATTGAAAATACCATATGTTACATGTCCATGAAGATCAGCTTTCAGCCGCAAGATAAGCTGCGTCCATTTATTGTTCTTCCCTCTTTCCCTCCTCCCTCCCTCCCTCTGGGCTTTTAATTACATCCATCACCTCCCACCCCTCTGGTGGAGCTGGCTTCATGTCTCACCAGCCCAGCGAGGGAACAAGGCCCATTTTTTCTCTTGGAAGGGAGCAATTGTTTCACTTCCCGCACACAAGTCCTAGAGCGAGAGACATTTAGCAGCCGCTGTGAAATTTCAGCCAGGATTGGAATTTATTTTAAGACGCCGGCCTTTAAATTTTTCATTAAACCTTTTCCCCCTGCGATGCAGCAGGCTTCTGCAGGGACCAGGGGAACGTCATGTTTATATGCCTGGCACGTCAGGAGAGGACAGAGGATTTCACACCACCCTGGGCAAAGGCTTCTCAGCACAGCACATGCTGCTAACAAGGCCCTACAGCAAAAGCAGCTCAGAGCCTGGCGCTGCAGCCCCCGGCCTGGGAAGATGCTGCTGCCTCTGCAAACCGCCCCAGCCCGGCTTGAATTTCAAATGCCCCACGCTTTGCTGGATCCAGGGCTACCTTGCAGGAACGGCCCCTTCAAGTTCCCTTTTCAGTCGGCCCATTTCCAGGCGCCGGCGGTGACCCGTGAAACTGGTGTTTCACCCCCCCTCCGGGTGCTGAGCCCCCCGGTGAGGTGCTGAGCCCCCCGGTGAGGTGCTGGACGCTCGCAGCCGGTGCCAGGGAGGTGACTTGGAGCCCTGCCTGCTGTAGGGATTGCTTGAAGCATCCTGTTATAAGACCTCAGGTTTCGTTGCTTGTCACTCTGCCAGCCCTCTGGTGCCTACGCTGAAATTTTCCGTGCTAGCTGTCTGCTTTTGCAGGAAAGGAGATGCCTGCAGCAAACTCGGAGGGGATGAAACTGCCTGGAGGAGGCCTTGCCTTTTCTCCCCACCTGCCCCTGTCGCATTCACCATCCAGCTCCTGCTGTGTGTGAGCCAGGGGCTCGGCAAACATCGACCAAAGCTGTGCACAAGATGAGCCGGGGCTCCTACAGAGACACGGCTCACAACCAGTGTTAGACACCATCACGCACGAAGGCGCTGAGATGGGGCTGCCCACGCAAGCTGAAGCAGCATTTCTAAAGTGCTCTGTGCCCAACCTTGCAGCCTTAACCCAGTTCTCTCTTTTTGGCATGTAATAATTTTCTACCATCAGCTCTTTTAGATCGTTGACCGGTCTTTATATTTTCCTGAACATGACCTGAAAACCCGCTGCAAGGTAGTGCAGCAACTCCTGACTGAGCAGTTTTGGCAAACCAAAAGGAAAAGTCTGACCAACCCCCTTATTTGAAATCCTCTGTTCCAAATTTGGTTGCTATCAGACTGGTCATTTCCCTGAGGAGCAATTGCAAACCTGGGAAAGCCCACTGTAAGGACACCGCTCCCGTGGCCGAGTCGCCCACGGGTGGCCCCAAACCCCCCAGGACACAGCCCAGCACCCCAGCCCTGCAAACCTTCCTGTGACCAAGGAGAGTGCTTTACATATAGCCCGGTCTCACCCACGCAGCCAGATCACATTAACAGGGTTTAATCTCCCTTGCAGACAAAGGGTGCTGCAAAATTCGGCAGGGCTCCCCACGCCCCCCCGGACCCCCGTCCAAAGCCACCTTTCCACGTGCCACCCCCCTCCGTAATGAACCCATCTGCCCTCACCCAAGCACTCTGCCAGGTTTTTTTGCACGGCAGCAGGTTTCAGCTGCGAGCTGCCATTGTATTTAACGTACAGCGGTGAGGTGTATCATTAATTTATTAATTATTCATGGAGCGCCAGACGGGCACGCAGAAGATCAGACAGGAAGAGCTGGCTCCCAGCGAGCTCCCGGACTCTCCTTATGTCAAGACTTGCTCTTCAGTCACAGGCACGTTGTCACTGGCCACCTGCACGTGACAGGACAATCTCTGCTAAAATCCCAATTAGCACATAATCAGGCAAGCACACAACCTGACTCTCCCAAGCCAGACGGGCCCCAACTTCCCTTTCTTTCCCTTTTTTAAACAAAAGCTTTCCTGTTGTTCAAACCTGGGGGTAAGAACAAGGCTTTGGATTAGTGGTGGGGACTTTGGCAAGGGTGAGACCCGCTGCGTGCCCCGAGGCCACGACCAGGGCAGCCCAGAGAACCTCTGGGCTTACTGGTCAGCCCTGCCGTGGCCACTGGGACACTTGGCAAGTGGAGCTCTCCAAGCATCCCTTCGAGGCGGCCAAATGGCCTTGGCATTCTCCGGAGGAGCTGGTTTTGTTATCCATCCTGGGAAACGAAGAGGGTTATTCAAAGGCCCTCCGCAGCCAGAGCAGTTTCCCTTTCATCGCTCGCTCCCAGTTGCCATAAACCATTAATGTTGGGCGATAAAAGGGCGAGCACCGCGAACAGGCCAGGCGGCCACCACAGCCCTGTCAACCTCGAGGGCTGCAGACTTGGGAGCTTCCTTCCCGATGATCCAGCTGGAGCTGTGACGAAGCTGTTTGGCGGGGACGTGGTTGAGGGACGGGCAGAGAACGTGGGTGGGCAGTCCCAGATGGATGGAGAGGACCGGCTGGGAACTGGGGGGGGTCATTTACAGAATGGGGTTCTATTGACAAACGAGTCGGTGTGCGGAGGCAGGTTAGCCCTGCTCCAAGCACATCACCACTCCGTCGGCGGTTTCTTAGGGTCTCTCACCTTAATTTTACAAAGATCTTGGCTACTTGTCTCTGGATTTCTCCATTTGCCTTCCTCCCTTGTGCTGTTCCTTAGAGCAACCGGTTAGGTTAACTGTAGGCTTAAGAATGATTCATTTGTGTTCTACTTCCTTCAAAATACAAATCCTAGGCTCATTTTTCTCATCTTATTTTCAAACAGGTTTTAATCCAGCCATAATGCCTTTAGTAGGAATAGCAGGCGGAGAACAGAACAAAAGTTAATATTTTGTCTGTTCAGAGGAAGTTTGGAGCATTCAACTCCAAATCTACCTGAGAAATGTCTGGAGATAGAACATTCTCTCTGCGATGCTTAGGGGAGCCAACGTGTCCTAAGACCATGAGCTAGCGAGGGACTATATTACTATTTTGCAGGGAGTAGGAGGGGTGCCAGACAGGGTGTGCTGTCTGTCCCACCCAATTAAGACAACTCTTTTTGCCATTCAATGTAATTTTTAATATAAAGCTGATACCATGAAAAATTACCATCTTCTTCCTGGAAGACAATAGGGTATTTTTCAGGGAGTTGTTCTGCTCATTGTGTGCATTGTGGGATCTTCTTTGCTTATTTTTAACTGGGGTAGGTTTTATCAAAGACGTGAAATGACTCTAAGTCACACTGACAATGGCAGGGGGATGAAGTCACAACGTTAATCTTCTCTGTGCGACTCTAAAGAAGTGGAAACTTCCACTGAATGCCATGAAATCCTCTCCACAATGAAGTTGTTCAGCCATGCCAATCACAAGCTCACAACAACTACAGGAGTGAAAATCTCCGAAGGAAAAGGTCCGGTGTGATGCTACGAAGAGGATCTCTGGATGTTGAAACATGGGCCTAGATGGCTTTTTTTTTTTTTTTTACAAGCATGAGCACAAGTGCATCCTCCTCGTGACATGGGGGGCTGGGAGGAGAGTTTGGGCTCCCTCTTCTTCCTGGATTCATCGGGGCTGGCTGCAGCGCTGCATCAGGGCTGGTGCTGCAGAAATTGCATCAGGGCTGGAGCTGCAGAAACTGCACTGCTGCTGGTGCTGTGGTGCTGCGTTGGGGCTGGCTGCGTGGCCGTAGCCAAGCCTGCTCCCACACCCAGCCTCCCCGGGGGAAATGGCATCTTTGTGCCACGTGTATCCAGCCCAGCCTTTGCAGCTACGTTCATCTCCAGCTAAAAAAGAAAGGAAGCATCCCAGAAATCCTTTTTCCCGGCCGCCGCGCATCAGAAATCTTCCAATCATGTCCGGCAGCTCCATGCTGGCTCCCGAGCTCGGGAGCGGGAATGCCGGAGGGAGCAGGGAGCAGCAGCTCTGCCGCCCAGCTTGGGGGGCTCCGGGTTGCACCCGCGTGTAGCTGGGCGTTACACACACATCCAAGTCACTCCATCCTCCCCCTGGCAACGGAGCAACCTCTCCTCGTGGTTCCAGAGGGCTGGAATCCAAATCCCAAAGTGAAGGGGGAAGAGCAGCGAGGAGCCTCCCATCCAGCTCAGGAATGGTGGCACGTTAAAAAGTCCCAAACGGATTTTTTCCTGGCGCCTGCCAGCAGCAAAGCGGCGTGAACACCCAGAACTGTAAAAACCGGTCAAGAAGCTGTTGCTTTGTTTTCTGTCTTCTTCTGAGCTCCTTGTGGGTTTGTTTGAGGGGAAGGGTGGGCTGGGTAAAGAGCAGACACCAAAGCGTGTCCCAGCACCCAGAGAACTTCAGAGGAAAATAGCTTATTTCATTAGAGTTGTAAACAAGATGGACTTTTTCAAAATATTTATTTTAGGAATCAAATTAAATGTTCCAGCTATTTGGGAATTCAATCCTCTCTTTCTGCGGGTGCTAGTCAGGGCTCCCAATGCATCAGTGCACGGCTTTAAAGGCATTTCTCCACTCTTTTGGATTAGTGACCCATTCTAACAGGTCTTCATTGACGGCGAGTGTGGGTCTCTCAAAGAGTCCATTGGATACAGCTTACAAAAGAGTTTAGCCGGAGATGAAGAGTTTACAAAAAGTTTGTAGGAAACCGTGGAGTCCTTTTAAAAGAGAATAAACTGCCACTGCTGTGTCTGGGTTGAGTTAATCTGATTAGGCCAAGCTCATCAACAGGCTCGCTGAAAAGAATGAGGCGGGGGGAAAGCAAGCTGTGGATGGGGCCAAGAAAAAAACTAGGGACCTTTTTACTAGAGAAGTCAAACAAAACCTATTGTTGCAGAGCATGCTTGCCTACAGATGGCAAAATGACAAATCTTTTCAAAGGCAAAGCAAATATAATTGATGGCTTTTTTTTTTTTTTTTTTTTTTTTTTTTTTTCCCCCAGGTATGGGAACAGACACTTAATAAGATTAAGGGAAACCAAAATGAAAGGGGCTGTGAAATATCGCAGATACTTGTCCTGGTTGTTTGGATGGCACAGGCCTATGGAGTTTACCTACTCTACATAAAAACTTGAGAAGAAAAGGGCCATACTGTGGATCATTTATGCTCCTAGGTCCCGTAGGAAGTGTCCGTGTATCATTGCCCGCACTCCCAGTTAATGCCTGTGCTCTTCCAAACTCTGGGAGACAGCAGCACCCAACCGAGGACTGGAGGAGCAGAGCAACAGGACAACTGACTTGCCCTAGGAGAGGGCGAAAGCTTTGGGACACCCCAGCACCCCTCCAGCCCAGCCTGCCCAGTGGGGCTACTGGTGGCCACGTAGCCCCAGCCAGGGCAGGGAGAAGCAATGCAGACCCCATCCTGCAGCATTCAGCCACTCATTTCTCCCCAGGTGGGGGTGAAGAGAACCAGCAAAAGGGCAGATTTTCACGTCTCTGCTCTGAACCTGAGGCAGGACATGGTGGAGCCGCTCTGAGTCACCCCACCGGGTGTGGGTGCTGCGCCCCTGCCCACGCTGTGCTTGGCTCCACGCAGGGGCAGCCACAGCCGGGGCTGGGCAGGACCCGGTGAGCATCCCCGGAGCATCCCCCGGGCCGGGGACCGGCACGGTGCCGCATCCCGCCTTCAGCATCCCCTCCAAGGAGGAAAAGGGCTGAGCAGGGTCAGGAGCCCCTAAGGCACAGAAAGGGGGTGATGGCATCATCGCACCGTCTCATTTTGAGAAGTTTATTGTGGGCAAATTAAAAAGCCTAATTTAGAGTGCTGCTGGAAAGTTACATCACCGCCATTACCTTCTCAGGAGATATTTTAGGTTCTATATTTAGAGCAGCTCGAGTTGTGCTTGGATTTAACATAGGTAGCTCCTTAGCCAATATAATTAAGAACAGTATCAGTGGAAGGCATGTAAGGAGATTTTCTCCCCAAGGCCATCTAATACAGATGTAATTGACTCTATTTTCTGCTTTCTGCACACGGATTGCCGCAACTCAGCCCCTATTATCCGTCAACAAATGAACAGGATCCAGTGAAAGGGACCTCTTCAACCAGGACTGGTTTTAGAGAATGGAGCACTGGGCTGTGTTAAATCTGGACACAACGCGGCTTCGTTCCCTTCCTTTTTATCTCCGCCGCCTTTTCAAGATGTTTTCCAGTTAAGGGTAAGTCAGCAAATATGTGTTTGGGCAAAGTGTTGGCACTTGCTAAAGAAGAGAACATCTGTCTCAATCAGCTGGTCTATTCTATCGCTGCAGCTCAACGGAGGCTCTCAGCACTGAAAGACAAAACCAGGGCAATGCCTTCAGAAAGGTTTTTTGTGTAGGCAGTTGCAATTTTCTTTCGCTAAAATTTCCAAGGGCGGGGAAGGAGGAAGGGAGGTGAGAAAAGAAATTAAAACCCATTTGCTTCATAGCAAAAGAGCCCCAGAAAATCTCCATTTCTAATGTTGCAAAATTCCTGCCGCGTTACCATCGTTGCATTCCCACAGCCAGTTTCGCAGCCCTGAAAAGGATGTCCTTAATAGCAGCAGGCACAATGAATAATAGTTTATTAGCGCAGACAGTAATTTTCTTAGAAATATCTTTGCGTTTAGCTGAAAGAGACCCGACATTTCCTCGGAGCAAAAGAATGCTTTTGGTTTATTCTAATTGTGTTCCCGTGCACAACGTGACGGTGCAGCCCGAGTGGGCAGCACGTGTCGGACGCAGGGAACGTGCAGAAATCAGACAGCGCGAAACCAAGCAAACGGGGGAAACCTTTTGCACGCCTCGAGACACAGTGAAGGAAGAGCTTTTGCTTTGCGAGACCCGGCCTCGACTCAGAAGCTTTGTGAAGGCGCCTGGGCCCAGCCTGGCTCCGTGGATAAGGGGGAATAAGTGATAAGGGGAGGAGTGCGAGCCTGCAGTTCCTTCCCGATGTGAAGCGGTTCAGAAGCGACTCTAACAGGCACCGGAGAGATAAGGAGGAGCAGAGATGGGCCAGGGGGTCAGAGGGAGGCAGGCATACACAAAACACTGCTCCGTGTTTCCCCAAACCCCTTTCTGGCCCTGGGCTTGTTTGGGGGATTTTGCAAGTCAGACGACCCTGATAATTAATTTCAGCTGATTAGAGCGGTAAGCTCCGGAGGGACAAAAGAGGCTGTGCTAGGTTTGAAAAGGATGCTCGGGGCAGAAGGCTGTACTGTAATTTGTTACACATTATAGTCCGCTAAAGAACCTCCTCACAATCTGCCAGGCCTTAATGTCTTAATTTCTCCTTCAGCATTCCCTTTGACACACTATCCAAAGTGATGGATGGCAGGGGATGATTGCATGGGATCAAGCAGGGGGAAATCCAGGAGGGATTACAGCCCAATCCCTGGGCAAACAGGCGCTGGAGTGGCTGAACACAGCCACAGCTGTCTGCCCAACAATACCCAGAACAAACAGAGCTGGGGAACAAGGCTCGGCCAGGGGCACAAGCAGGCAGGGCTCGAAGAAGGAGACAAAACCTGCATTCAGCCCCCTGGGACCCGGGGCCTTTTATGAGCCTTTTCACCCCAGCTGCAAGCTTTTGACTTGTGCTTCAAAATTTTAGAAGCCTGGCGGTAATAAAATTGGGTTTAGTGATCAAAGAGAGCTGGAGATCCTGTGCATATCCAGGCTGGGCAAGGACAAGTGGAGACAGCCACGAGCAGTTTGTCCTCTTCTGTTCTCTCTTATCTAATCAAACGGCAATATTAGGATTAATAACCTGTCTCACATTGCCAGTCTTCGGGCGGAAAGAGCCTTTAAACTGTTTTTTTTTAAAAATACAACATGTATGTACATGGTGGTTTTTTAAGGGATCAAGATTAAACATATAGGCCATGCCCAGAGAGGAATCACAGGGACTTTTCACATAAGCCTGAAGAAGGAAAATCCCAGGACTCCATCCAGAGACAGTTTAAAGACTTTCACTTTCCCAGTGCGTACTCAGGACAGGTTGCCAGTGACACAAACTAAAACCCAAATCATACCAAGCCAGAGTAGCACTAACTGCAAGTGGATAGTTGCACGAGAGTAGGATTAAATGCAGGTGAATAAATGCAATTCCAGTTGCACTGCAATTCACCAATCATGCTTTTTCTTGCTCTGACATCTCCTATGGACCTTGCCAGTGAACTCCATTGAGGAGAAAATGAGCAAAGCTGCTCATAAGGAGAAAAGCCCTTGTGAGGAAGTGTCTGCCCACCCTCTGCTCAGCACCACTCTCTACCCTGTGTCCCCAAACAGCCCCACGTTTCTCTGACACCTGCCTGGCAGCTGAAATCCCCAGGGGTTTACACAATCCCCCTGCACCCATGCACACCCTCTGCACCCAGACTGAGAGCTGCGAACAGGAGATCCAATTGCTCCTCGCTAGTTTTTGTGCTCCTTAGACCATGGCGGGGGAGATTTCCAGTCCCTGAGTGCTCCCTGCCAGCCCGGGGAGCCTGTCCCAGCGATGGGAAACGCTGGGTGTAGCTCCATCACTTTTGTCCGTGCAGAATACAGCCGGAGCCGGCATGTGAGGAGGGTACCAGAGGGGAAGGCGGGTTGTTTGTGCCCCATCCTGTCGCCGTTACGCAGGCTAAATTGCCACTAAAGGGATGTAAAATGCTGCAGAAGGGGGTCTGCTGGGAAATACCCTTATCTCCTTTAACACCACTGCCTCGGCAGCCCACCAGATCACAAAGCAAAAGCGGGGGGCAGGACAGGGGCTTACGGTTCAAATCTAATTAATGAACCAATTCAGCCAACACGCAGCTATCCAGCATGAGTATTGCCGGGCACGTCCCTGCTCCCAAAGAGTCATGGCAAGAACACAGCTCCAAACTGGAATTGAGCTTTTCTCCCAGTTCTGGGAGGGGTTTGCAATCAACCTCTGACTCAGGTTTGGAACTGCGGCTTTATCGAAATGTGGGTTGAGGTAAGGACGAGACTGGGCGCAAAGCAACACAGTATCTCCAAAATACCAGTCCTGGGGTAAAACGGAATTCTGGCTTAATCTGAAGTTACTTAAGGAAATGAGAGCCTTTCCCCAGATTTCACTGAGCTTTGAAACCTGAACACATCTGAAAATTGAGGAGAAAGGCTATGTGTTATGTCAGAGTTTTAGAACGACAAAAATTCTCCCAAGTTGTCACGTGCAGAAGAATTCTCTCTGGAGAGGAGCACAGTCAATAATCACTGGTCCCAGCCTGGGAATTGCATAATTTGATGTACATTCTGTTGAAAAACTTGCTCGCTTAATGTTATTTTTTTTCACCTTAATTATGTAATTAATGCACTCAGAATTAACTGTCAAAGAAGGGACACTATTTTTGTTATTAGTTATTTCCTCACAGTATTTTTACATGAGTAAGGGAGATTGCACAAAGGGCTGTTGTTTTGCACTTTATTGGTCTCATAAGGAAACAGATCCCTGAACCTTTCCAATGAGACTTATAAAGCAAACATTTATTATTCTTCAGCAAGGCACCATGCACCTCGGTGCGCTTTTCGCAAAGGAATAGGCTAGACTTTGTGGGCATTCAGATAAGTAACGCTTACCCAGAAAAAGAACATGCCTCCCACAAACCAAAAATCACAATTCAGCCAAGAACTGCTGTTTCTATGCTCACGTGTGTGTTAGTGTGATAGAGGAAAAGGATCCTGAAATAACTGTATTCCTCTGGATCCTTTGATGTCTGCAGGAAGATGATGCTGTTCCATACGGTACATCATACTTGTGTGCATTTTGCAGTCTGGCTGGGGCCAATCACCAAAAATTGCACCTGAAATTAAAGGCTCAGAACCTGATGCAGCAATGAGAATGGAAATATTTCTGAGAGTTTTTCTTCCTTTATTTTTTGTTTTGTTTTGTTTCTTCCTTCCTTCTCTTCGGTGTCCTGAATCCCTCCAGCCCCACTCTTAGCCATGCCAGAGGACCCGGAGCGAGTGAACGGGGAGAGACCCCAGGGAGGTGGGAATCTGGGACACATTCTGCCAGTGTGGGAGCCCCACCCATTCCACGGGGAGCTCCTGGGCCACCCCCCCACCCTAACTGCAGAGGCCGTTTGCCCTCCTGCAGCTCTGCAGCCTGCTAGCGTTCCCCCCACCCACCCCGGGGCCAGGCTGAGGCCACCAAACTCACGACACTTGTGCTTTCAGCCCAGAGAAAAGGAGATGAGTGGCAGCATGCGGAAGGTGACACCCCCACACCCCCCCCGGGGATGTCCCCGTAGCCCCACTCAGGTGTGGGAGCATGTCCACAGCCCAGTGCAGCAGCAACGCCAGCAAATGCCCAAATTACAGCCCTGGCTGCAGAAACGGTTAAGGCAAAGGGAATGATTCATTGGAGCAAATTAAAAGCAAAGCACGAGCTGGGCCAACAATAGGGATTAAATGTAGTATGTGGTTATGTTCTCCTCCAAAAAAATTTCCCCAAACTGAGCCATGTCGTGTTTGGTTTTCAGAGGGAGAATCGAACACGTTTTCATAGGAGAGTTTTCAACATTTTAGCAGCTGACTTTCATCCTTGCTTGGGAATTGGTAAAAGGAGAAAAAAAGGCGTCATGCGTTCCGAGTCAAGATATTCTGAATTTCAGATGTTGGTCTACAGAAAGCTAATACCCAATTTATGATTATTAAAAGATTTAAGCCTGCAGCACAGAGATTTAATACGTCTGCTGCATTCTCTAAAAAGGTCTTTAAATAGGCAGGTTTTGAAATTAGCCAAAGGGCTTCAAGGCTGCTTAACGACGGCAGTTCCGCACGACAGGACGTTTCGGGGCTGCGGGAGACCCTCGGGAGACCACCCCGGCCCCCGCGGGGCTGTGCGTGGGCGCCGGGACCCACGCAGCCCCGGCAGGAGCTCGGCTGCGGGCTGTGAGGTTGCCACCCGAGATGCCCCCGTGCAGGGGGGCTGCAGGGACCTGGGGGAGGGGGTGTCCCCCACCGCAAATCCCCCAATTTCCGCTGGGCGGGGGGGCGCAGCTGCGGGCGCCCCGTCAGTGCATCCACGGGGCGTGGGGAGGGAAAATTCTAGGGGAGGAAGGGGGGGGGTGGGAAAAGAGAAGGGGGGTGTCTCGACTCCAGGGGGGTCCTGACCCTTCCTGACCGGTTAAACCGAAGGGGGGGTGGGTGGTTAATAAAGCGTAATGCGGAGCAGGTGTGGGAAGGCGCGGGGTGGGGGGGGTGGTGGTGGGGAGGTGTGTGCGTCGGGCTCCCTCCGCCCCCCACTCCCACGCCGCGGGGGCTGCGCACACGCGCGGGCAGGTCGCGGAACCCCCGGATTCCTCCTCGGCCCCCCCCCCCGCAGACGCAGACTCCGCGCTCCCCGCCCCGCCGCTCCCACGCGTGCCCTCGGCGCACCGGCATGCCGCGGGGGCCGGTAACACCCCCCCCCTCCCCTTTTCCTTACCCACACCCCCCCCGCCTTTTTTTTTCCCGCGGCGGCGGGGGCGGGGTTTTCCCATGGCGGGGGCGCGCTCTGGCACGTGCTCCGGCGGGCGGCGGCGGCGGCGGCGGGGGGAGAGAGGGTGTTGAGGGCGCGCGCGCGCGCGCGCCGCGTCTCCTCGGGGGCGGGAGGCACGAGCGGCCGCCCGCCCGCCCGCCCGTCCGCCACGCCGCCTGATTGACAGCGGGGGCGGCCGCCAGCCAATGGGCGCTGAGCGGCTCCCCCCCCGCCCCTCCCTTTTCTCCCGCCGCCCATTGGCCGGCCGCGGCCTCGCGTGCCGCGCCAGCCGCCGCTTCCCCCGCCGCCCCGGGGATACCCGCACCCCCCCCCGCGTACTCAGCCCCTCCCGTCGCACTCAGCCCCTCCCGTCGCCATCCCCCTGCACGCAGAGTGTCTGTGCGTGTGTGTGTGTGGGGGGGGGCGGAACCGGTGGTGCTCCGGCGCAGCCCCCCCACCCTCCCCCCTTTCCCCCCCCCACGTGGCCCCGGGGCGCGCGCGTGACGGTGTGTGTGGAGGGGGGAGAGGGGGGAGGTTGGGGCCAATCATGCAACGGGTCCAGAAACCGCGGGGCGGGCTTGAACGGCGGGGCGGGGCGTTGATTGGCCGCCGGGAGTGTGGGAACGGCCGCGGCGGCGGTTTCCCACGAATGAGGAGCCGCCGCCGGGTATAAAAGGGGCCGGGGGGGCCGCGGCCGCCGGGACTGCCCGGCCCCGCCGCCGCCGCCGCACGCGCCCCGCGCCTCGTCGCACGCGCCCCGCGCCCGCCCGCCGCCATCCTCCTCCTCCCGCCGCCATGCCCGCCGACACGGGCATGGAGAAACCGACCGCCTCGCCTATCGCGGGGGCGCCGGCCAGCGCCAGCCACACGCCGGACAAACCGCGGAGCGCCAGCGAACACCGGAAGGTAAATGGCGGCGGCGGGTGTCGAGCGGGGCTCAACAGCGGAGGCGCTGGATGGCGGCGAGCCCGCGGTCGTGCTGAGGTCGGTGTTGGGGTTGTGTGAGGGGAGGGGGATGGGGGGTGTCCGGGACCGGAGCGGGCGCGGGGGGGCTGACCGACCGCCTCCGCTTTTCCCCCCCACCTCAGTCCTCCAAGCCCATCATGGAGAAGCGGCGCCGGGCGCGGATTAATGAGAGCCTGGGGCAGCTGAAGACCCTCATCCTGGATGCGCTGAAGAAGGATGTAAGTGGGGGACACGCACACACACGGGATGGGGTGGGGTGGGGGACCCTTAGAGGAAGGGGGTTGTAGCGGGGGGACCCCTCAGGCAGCCCTGACGACTCCGCTCTCCTCCCCGCAGAGCTCCCGGCACTCCAAACTGGAGAAAGCCGACATCCTGGAGATGACGGTCAAGCACCTGCGGAACCTCCAACGGGCGCAAATGACGGGTAAGCGCATCCCCGGGTGGGATGTGGAGGTGGGGAGACACACACACACGCACACACACACACCCCCCCTCCGTGGGACCGGGGTCCGGACCGACGTGCAGCTCACCTGCCTCCCCTTCTGCTCTCCAGCCGCGCTCAGCGCCGACCCCACCGTCCTCGGCAAGTACCGGGCTGGATTCAACGAATGCATGAACGAGGTGACGCGGTTCCTGTCCACCTGCGAAGGGGTGAACACCGACGTGAGGACCCGCTTGCTCAGTCACCTCTCGGCTTGCCTGGGTCAGATCGTGGCCATGAACTACCCACCGCCGCCACCGCCGCCGGCCGGCCAGCCCGCACATCTGGCACAGCAGCCTCTGCACGTCCAGCTGCCCCCCGCAGCAGCCAGCGCCGTGCCCGTCCCCTGCAAACTGAACCCTGCCGAAGCCCTATCCCCCAAAGTCTACGGGGGTTTCCAGCTCGTCCCTGCTACCGACGGCCAGTTTGCTTTTCTCATCCCGAACCCAGCCTTTCCTCCCAGTTCTGGACCAGTTATTCCCCTGTATGCCAATGCCAACGTCCCGGTGTCCGCGGGCAGCGGCTCAGGGAACGCGGCCGCCACCCCGTCGGCATCCCCGGTGCAGGGGTTGACATCATTTGGGGGCAGCATTGTTCCAGCGTCCCAGGCGGGAAGTCCCATCGGAGAGCGCAGTGAATCCGTGTGGAGACCTTGGTGACTTGCCTAAAATGATATTCCCCCCCCACACACACCTCCCTACATCCCCCTGCCCCCCCCCACCCCCCCCCAAAAAAAAAAAACACAACAAAAAAAAACAAACAACAAACACTCTTCTGTTGGCTCCGTTGTATGGAGCCCTGTTATGTTTGGGTTTTTTAAGCAGATTTAAACAGAAAGGAAAAAAGGACCTCGCTATGAACGTGCTATTTATTATTTTCAGAGGTTGGGATCTCGACTTGTATTTTTACTCCTTTAAAATGCCTTTATTTGAGATACTTTTTTTAAAAAAAAAATAAATGAGAAATAGTTTTGTAACAAATATTCAAAAGTATAATGCCAAAGTTGTTTGTATCCTGTTTGTCTGTGTGTGTGTGCGTGCCTGTGTTGAAGACTTCCAAAAAAAAGAAAAGAAAAAAAAATTGCAGGTGTTTAAATAAATAAACTCTTTGAAATAGATTTATTTTTTTGCCCCCCCCTTCCTTTCATTTTGTTGGTGTGAGGGTGGGCAGGACCAAGCTCATGCTGTGTATGTAACCCCCTTCAAAAAAGGAGTGAGGATTAAATAAGATTGTTGGAAGGGATTGCTGTGGAAGATAGCTGGGGGGGCTGTGGGAAGGGGGGGGATCTGGAAGTGTTAAATGTCTCCTGAGAGCTTGGCAAGTGTCATGTTCCCACTCAGAAGAAACAGATTCCTAAAGATTTGCTGGTGGAACTTGAGGAAAGGCATGCTGCTTGCTACCTGCTCCGAGAGCTCCCCGAATTAACGCTGCTCCTCACCACCTTGCTGTAGGGATTGTGTCTGTGGGGGTGGTGTGCGCAAAAGTTACTATCTCGCCTACAAAAGAGGCAAGAGAGTCTGTCCCTATTGTGAGGAGGGTAATTAGAAGGTATAAAGGGTCTCATCGAGTATGCAGCGGGCTCTTTGGGAAGTTGGGAACCCTATTGAAACGCCTGGGAACTCGGAGCTGAGGGTTAATGTGTGTCTTTTTTTTTCTCGCCACTCTCATTGACAGGGCCAGATAGACTCTGATACTCAATGCTGTTGTAAATTCAATTGCCTGGCCTCACAATGCCTACCTCATAAAAGAGAATAACTCGGGGTTGTGGCGCTTTTTTTTTCCAGTAAGCAAGGGAACTGAGGAAAAGACAGTTTTGCCACCCATTCTGACTCACCCCCAGTACTTGAATCCTGGCCAAGTGGAAGCAATTGCAGCCTCACACACACAGAATTAACCACTTCCAATTGTCACCAATTAATAAGGCCGTGGTGTGGAGAAAGACCATTAAGAGTGAATGCACGATACGGAAGGGAAAGCTTTGTGTGCTTTACTCCAAATTTATGAGGTGGGGCTATCGTCTAATCTTCCCGAGAAAAGCCAACAGATGACATGGGTGCATGCCAAAGCCACGTTCAGAGGCATAACCCATCTTGGCTCCATCCTCAGTCCGTGGGATCCCCGCAGGCAAAGCGGATTCTCCTGACCACCCCCTTCCCAAGCCCCAGGGTTTTTCCTGATGGTTGGGTTAGGTGGATTGGGTCGCGGTGGGACCGGCAGCGTTTCACAGTTCAGAGACTGCCTTGATGTTTGCAGAACATCCAATTAATACAGCAAGACCAGGGATACTTTTTTTTTTTTTTTTTTTTTTTAGAATGGAAGTGCAATTTCATCTTTCAAGGTCTAGGTCTATTAGCAATCAGGTTGCAGCTTCTGTAAGAAGATGGCATTGTGTATGTGTGTGTTGCAGGGGGTATGTAAAGCAGATTATCCGCTTCCGAAGGCTTTTTACACCTTCGTGATGTTTCGGCCAGGGTTAGCTATGGGAGTGCAGGCTGCTTGGAGCCTGGTACTGATCCAGTCCAGCAATTCCTCTGCACCAAAGCAGTGGGCAATCGATCAGTGCTGAAAGTCCTCCACAACCAGCACTAGGTATCCATTTGAATCAGGAGGTTCCCAGGAGGTTTTGTTATGCAATCACAGACATAAAATCATGTTACAGCAATTCTCTTCCATCCCCCACAGCCAGTTACTACCCCTCCTCTTCTGTCTGAAGAAGGCTTGGAAGAGCAGATGAAAGCCTGCCTGTCGCCTGTGTGTAATTGTATACCTCCCCGCGGCAGCACCGTGTCTCTGGACTTGTCCCTCACTGCCCAGTCCCCTCCAGACCGCCCCTAGTTTCAGCAAATTTATTTTATTGACAAGGTACCCAGGCCAAAAGCGAGACTGCCAAGCTGAGTTCGGGCACCGCACAAACTCTTTCCTGAGTGGGTTTTGAACGACTGCGGCAGCGCAAACGCGACACGCGCCGCGGTGTTCCTCTGGGACGCTCATCTCCCAGCGCGAGAAGCAGGCATTCGCTGCTCTGCTTCTTGAGACCCTGAAATGCGAGCACGTAAGGGTACCACGGGCATTTCAGCCTCTGCAGAAACACTGCAGAGCCCCACAGGTTTTTATATCCAGCACTGCCACTTCCTCTCTTTTCGGCCTCAGGCAAGTCATAGGCTTCTCTGTGCCTAGGTCCAGGGGTACAGAAGCTGGACATGAGGTGCGTGGCACCAAAAAACTTGCACGCCAGAAGCTCAAAATCCTTCCAAGGGACGCTGTTGCTGTTAACTCCAGATGACCTAATAACTCGGGTTCAGTCATTGTGTCTGTCCTTGGGTTGTACCCAGACTCTGTGCTTCTGCAACTGCTCTTCTGGCTCTGCCAGGCTATTCCTCTACAACCTGGGGGAAGCTGCTATGCTCCTTCAAGGCTTCCTATACAGCTGCTTTTCCAGATTGTGCTAAATTTGGTCTTATCCTTTTAAACGTGCAATAAGAGAGCAAAGTACGCTGCGGCTGAAAGGTAAAAGTCCAAAGGGACGGACACAGCGCCAAAGCGATAATGGTGCAGGCAGCCAGAAGTCCATGGGTGTAAAGGCATGATCTGGGTGTGGTGGAGCAAAGTGAGGCGGGAGGAAGAGGAGGAAGACAGCAGCGAAACCCAGCAAGCCAGTGATGCCTCCTTCACCCAAACCCAACTGCAACAGCTCTCCCTTGTTCCAAGGGACTAGGTATGGGGATAGCTGTTAGCTAGCAGCTGCCAGAGCCGGCAGAAGGCTAACCAGAGCGGGGAATTGAGTTCCAGCTGCAAAACTCAGTGAAATGTTTAGTGGCGGTTCAGCTATGCCTCCACAGCCCTGCGGCCCCAGCAGGCATCCCCTGAGATGTACTGTTCGGTGCAAGGAAAAAGAGTCTCCCGCAAGGCCCCAGGCAAGAAGCAAAGCCCCTTTCAGCTTCTGGGCTGGCCCGGTTCACCAGCTGGCAAAGAACCACCCGGGGAAAAGCACCTGAGGCTTCAACCGAAGCCTTTTTCCCTTTGCATCTCCCGCCCTGCTGCCTTTGTGTTCTTCTGCTTACGAGTTTCCCAGAGAGGAAATTTTCTGGGGTTATCTTCCCGCCTGCGCTCCGCTCGCTGCCTCACACGGCTGCTTCCCTGCCCTCCTCCTCCTCCCACTACAGCTGCAACATCCCCTTCTCTGCTGCTGTTTAGCTGTTTCCTTTCCCTGCCCTGGAGGGAGTGATGCAGCCCAGGACCCGTGGGGTGCAGGGGTGGGGGCTGCCCACCCCTCTCTTTCCGCCTGGGGTCTTGCCCCCCCGGCCCGTCCTGGCGGCAGGCCCCCGGCATTACGGAGGGGCAGGGGGGCTCTGGGGTCGTCTTCCTGACAGCTGGGGAGGTGAGGGCATCCCCGACCCCCCTCGACCCGGCGCACACCGCCTCGTCCTTTCGGATCGTGCATCCCAGAGACCCTCCGAGGAGAGGGAGCGGTTCCTCTGGCTCAATGGATGCAGCCAGATTTACTCAGGCTGTTAAGCTGATTAATTGAAATGAAGTTCCTCCAGAGAATCGGCGTGTTCTTTGAGGTCAGGGTCACAACACTGAGACGCTTAATCAGATCTTTCCATTTAGCCCCTCTTAGGCAGGCTGGAATGCAGGCTCTTTCAAAGCAAGGCAGTTGGCGCCAAATTTCTGCTCTGCTATCTTGCCTCTTCCATTACATTTAACCAGCACATCCATCATTATGAAATAAAACCCAACGCTACAAATCTAGCTCAGGTGATCTTTCCACAACCAAAGCCAGTAGGGAAAAAAAAAACAAAACAAAACAAAAAAAAAGCACAAAAACCAACAACTCCATCCAAGCTTGATATTACTGTTGTTTTAAAAAGCAACACAGAATGGTGCGGAAAGGGTAACTGTCACTCTAAGCCGGTCCTTTTGGAGGAAGGGGGCAGATGTTTCTGTGCGGATAACAAATTCCTTTATCTGACTGACGCATTTCTCTGGGGAAGGTGGAGGAGGTTATTATAAGGTTGCCCCGAACTATTGTTAAAGAAAGGGTTTTTCATTGCAATTCAAGAGCCCATCATATTACCCAGAGATAAATCACTCCCGTAAAGCTATGGAACAGCTCTTACGCAACAGACAAGCCGATCCCACACGCATTAAAAGCACTGAAAGCTTGTCCATTGTATTACCGATCGGCCAGAAGTTAGCATATCCAATTAGCACGTACACTTCTGTGGACCTCTTCCGTTCCTGTAGGCAGAAGGATGTTTCTTAAATCTAAATGCATTGATTGAAAATAATGTAATTATTCTTATTTCTTTATTCTATCAGACGATGTGGGTTCAGTACATTTTGCTGTATAGCACGGTGTTTATTATTTCAGTGGCAGGATTAGAAGTGCAATATATGTGCACCGCATCTTTAGGCAGAGCTGCATAAGCAATTAAGGAACCCCCCAGAGATCTTCATAATGCTGTCTGATGTGAGGGGTGTTCCCCCCCAAAACCAACCCCTTCCCATTCACTAAAGTTCAAGACAACAGCCGCAAAGTGTAGTCTATATCGCAACCACCTGTGAGATATGGATCTTTATCACTCACAACCAGGGTCTGCAAAAGATAGCAGGGCTTTAAGGAAGTCTGATCTCCAAGAACTGCTGAGTTTTGCTCTTTAAAAATCAACCTCTTTAAGGCACCTTAAACTGAACAGCAACATAAAAAGTGTCCGTCCTTGATAAGGTACCAGTCCCCAGTGTAAGTTTTCAAAGCCTTAATAGTCTGTTTTCAGCTTTAGTTTTTAGCACGTGCAATCTCACTGGGCTCCTCCATCAGCTGGGGACATCTCTTTGTCAGATGGGACAATTCCCCTGGGCTGGCCACAGACTGGGTGGGAAATGGCAAAACTCCTGGCTCCTCCACAAGCATTTCAATTGGAGGAGGTTACTTTACATCCTTCTCAGTAACTTGTCTCACTTTGGAGAGGCTCACAGAAGAGTCCATGGAGTATGTAGGAATATATTCTACAGGAATTCTCTACCAACAACTACCCTGTTGTTTATACTTCTTGCATAGTAAAAAAATCAATCATGCATCCACAGTTTATTC